TTTCCTGAAGGGGCAGGGGTGACGTGGAGGAGGATGCAAGGCCCGTGGGTGCTGGCTGTGTGTTGACCCTGGAGTAGGGCCTGCTTGCACCACGCGATTTGGGGGGTACTGGCCGCCTTCTTTTTTTATTTTCAGGGGGGTTTTGATTGTCCCAGCTGTCCCATAGATAAATCAGGCTTCTTGCACCTTCTGGCACACCCTCTTATTGCCTAGTTTGAGGTTCCTAATAACTTTCTTTCTCTCTGTCATCTTTCCAGCTGCGGGAGCCTTCACCATAGCCCGCGTTACCATGGCCACCCACTTGTCCAAGGATCAGGAGGAGCGAGTGCGTAGAAAATAGTTTATGTGGGCTACTGCTGTGTTGTGTTTCTGCAAAGAGACCTCCCTGTCCCCCTAACAACATGGCAGCTGGCTGTGCCGTGTAGCTCCTCAGAGGAACGTTGCTGATGGTGCTGAATTTCTTGTGCTTATTTCAGCGAGGCAGATTTTGCACGATATACCTGTACAAGGTGCAGGTACCAGGCAGCAGCTTAACCTGCTTAACAAAATGTCCGGGGGCGCCCAGCACGGACACAGTGGGATGCTGAAGAAGCACACTAATCCAGTTGTACTCTGTTACACAAATTTCCTTTTTAAGCATTAATTTTGTAAAATTAACTGCTAAGCTGGCACATGGTAGTGAAAACTGATCTTGGAGAAAAGAGAGTTTTCTGTAGATGGGGCACATGATTCATGCCAACTAATTTACTTGTGAACTGCATCTTCATGCCTTATACTCTTTACAGACTTGCTGGAATCCCCGTTATCTGTCACTACCTGAGTCTGCACTCCCAGCTCGTTTTTATTTACCCTTCTCTTTGTGTTGCCTTCCAGATCAAGTCTGTGAAGGGGGACCTGTTCTCCTGCCCCCAGACGGACGCCTTGGCTCACTGCATCAGCGAGGACTGTCGCATGGGGGCAGGCATTGCTGTTCTGTTTAAGAAAAAGTTTGGAGGCGTGCAAGAGCTGTTGGATCAACGTGAGTGATACCCGTGGGGTGGACATGCAGGAGCTGAAGGGAAAACCTTGATTTCCAGCAGTAAGGGCATTCCAAGCTACTTGGGGTGCAGGGGGGTTTACGTAGTGGAGTGTAACTGCTTTAAAAATACTTTTTTAATTACTTCACTTTAGAAAAGAAGACTGGGGAGGTGGCAGTTCTCCAAAGAGATGACCGGTACATTTACTACCTGGTAAGAGGGGGATATTACTCAGGCACTTCCCTGCAACTAAACTATATTGGATACAATGATGAGGGCTTTAATAGCTGTGTGGGTTTTGAGTATGTTCTTCTAAATAAGAGATGTATGACTCAAATCTTGCCAGTCGAAGAGCAGCCAAGCTGTCTTGTGTATATCTGAGCTTTAAATGGACAGAACCAGCTGCTAAATGACACTATTTTAAGCTGTGAAACACAGTTCTTTTTCCAAGTTGTTTTCTCTTCACAGTAGCAAGTGTGTGTGGAGTTTCAGAATGTAGTGGTTTGTGTTGTTTTTTTTTTTAAATAGCTTGCAGTGATTGTGCCAAAGGCACAACTGACCTTTTACATTTATACTTAGATTACAAAGAAGAAAGTTTCTCACAAGCCAACGTATGATAGTATGAGAAAGAGTTTGGAAGCCATGAAAGCTCATTGTCTAAACAATGGAGTTACTGACATTTCCATGCCCAGGTAAGAAAATTGGGTGTTGCAAAGTAAATAATTCAGTGTTTCTAGCGTGGAAGGGTGTTTGAGAGATGACCCCCTGCTATGAAAGAAGAGTTCAGGTATCCTCTTCAGCTCCTCTGTTCAATTGTGCAAGTGAAATTTGCATTTCAAGGACAGCAAAACATACAGGCTTGGTTGTTGCTTTATTTTAACTGCATTATGTTGATTTATGGTGAGCTGAATTAGTGCTATGTGAAGCTGCAGCTGCTTGAAGGGCTAATTGTTCATAGCTTGCTCCAAAAGAGGCCGTTACAGCTGTTCTGGTGTCTTTGTTTTTCAGGATTGGGTGTGGACTGGATGGCCTGGATTGGAATAAAGTCTCAGCAATACTTGGGGAGGTGTTTGAAGACACAGATATAAAGATCACGGTTTACACTCTGTGACCCAAAGAGTTTAAAGAGAACCCCATTTCCCCAGCCTGCTTCAGGAACAGGAACCTGTTAATGGATGGGGGGTAAACTGCATGCTGAGCACTTTGTGTCCAAGCACAGCTCACTCTTGTGTTGGCAGTGGCCTTGAGTATCATCCAGAACAAAAAAAAAAGCTTTGGAGCAGCTCGTTTGGGCTGTAGTGTTCAGGGAGCCTGTGAAGAAGGCAGGGAGGGATGTTGTGGTGACCCTCGGGGAGTTCCCAGTCTGTCCCAGCAAGCCACCAGATGTCACTGGTCCTCCACGGAGCACCTGCTGTGTTGAGCTGCTCCTTAAAGCTGATAGTTCCTGTGCAGAGGGAAATGGGAGCAGTCTGTTGCTTGAGTATTTGTTGGTTTGTAGTTACTGTTGACAATGATGAGCTGTGGAGCCTCGACACTTAAAAATAAGTTCTCAAGTGTTCACATCTGGCATACAGTTTACCTGCTCTGTCTGTTACAGGATTAAAAATTTAATTTCTATCTTCTGGCCACAAATGCAATTTTTTCATGAGATCATACTCACAAGGAATCATGCTGCCAGCATTAAATAAATAGTTCTGCTGTCAGAGGAGAGCATGGTCCTTTTGAAAAACATACCTGAGTCTGTGCTGGGGCTTTTTCTACAGGAAATCTGGGATCTGAAGGGGAACACTGGAGATGGGTGGGGACACACTGGGTACATTTTATACTGTGGAACTGGTGTAGTCTGCAGAGCTTGGTTTCCTGAAGATCCTCACGTGGATGACTGATATGCTGTGAAAGGTCACAGTGCAGACTTTATGGTTTGTTTTTCATTTTTTGCTGCATTTGTAGTTTAGCTGTTATATGTAGGATGGTGTTTGATGTCACCAACAGCAAAAGCTAATCAGTAACATGCTTTGCTCATCAGATCATCTGTACACTCTGGATATTTTTTGGAAGTTTGGTTTCAGTACTGAGGAAGTCTCATGTACTCTGTGTTCCCGTTGATTTTTCCCACTTTTCCATGATAACAAATCTTTGAGTTCTATCATACTGAATAGCCAGAAAATTGCCAGATGTATTGAATAAATCTAAAAGACAGGACATAACAGTTGAGGAGGTTGTAACATGGAGTTCCTGATTGTTTCTGTGTATGGGATGTGGGGAGCATTGTGGGCTCTTCTGTATTGTGTGGTTTCTTTGCTGATGCAGATCTGCAAATCCTGTTTGTGTCTTTAAGAGCTTTATATTATTGCTCTCCTTGTTCCTTGACTGTCCTTTGTAAACTTTTGGTTTTGTTGGGTAGTTCCTGTAAATAAATACAAAACTGGGTGAAAAAAATAAACTCAATAAGACAAATAGAACTTTGGAGTACTGAGCTGATCAAGAGTGGACATCATTGGTGTAGTCCTTAGGCTGATTTAGGTTTGTTTTTAACTGTGGTGGGGAGGAAATCCACAGTGGCTCCACAAAGGTGTTCTCATTATTTTTTCTGCCTTGAAAACTTGTGCCAGGATTTAGTGCAGCTGCCTGAGGTAAGAGGTGGGTGTGGCCAGCACCTGGGGTGTTTGTCCAGCACCATTCCAGCTTGTGGCAGTGCAGGAGTGAACTCCTTGGGCTCACAAGCCCTGCCTGACTCTGTTTCCTAGCAGGTGAGGGTCCCTGTGCCCCTGCTGGGCCTGTGCCCTGTTTTGTGTGGAAAGCAACATGTCCAGGTTCTCTGTCTCCCACACTTGCCTGTGCTCTGGAAATTTTTTTGGCATACCATAATTCTCCCTTCTCACCACACTGAGCTTCAGCCACGAGATATTTCATACATGGCTGTCCCAGGGTGTCTCACTTGTCAGATTAAATTTAGGACCACTTGGAAATTGAGAAGAAAGAATAAACAGTGTTACAGGCTTTGGCAGTGACTTCCAATTTTATTTCACTTTATTTTTCCCAGTTTTATATCACAAACATTGTCGAACATGGGGAGAGGGTATTTGATGTAGTTGAAATCAAGTACTTTGTGTTCTATCATAATTTAGAAGGTATGAGTTAGCCCTAATTGAAATCATATCTCTGACTATAGAGGGGGACAGAGGAAGAAAACCTTTTTTTCATCTTAAATCCCTTTCTTTTTAACATTTGTGAAGTATGTACGTTTAAATGCATTTATCTCATTGACAGCTTTGTTCTAAGATCTTTTCTCAAAGTATTCCCAGTATGTGAGGCCTACAGTCTTCCCTGTAGCTCCACTGCAATCCCCTCATCCCAGGCTTTAGGAACACAGTATGTCCCCTTCTTTCTTCCTAACAGCAGAGGCAGCATGGGTTGGTTTAGGGTGGGGAATGGGGAGGAACAAAATAAACCAAAGAAAATCCCAAACACCAAAGATCTGTGTTGTATAAGTGTTTGTAGTCCATCAGGGCCTAGTCTTCCAGAAGTTGGTAGTCCATCCTGCTGGAATCAAAGCTTTGGGAGGCAGGAGTGTCCCAGATGTCCAAGTCTGTTGTCTCTCTCTTCATAGATCTTTTCTGAATTGGTCCTGGGGAGGGAAAAGGAGAAACATGTTAGAAGCCTCAGATGCCTTCATTTTTTATGGCTTAAATAGGTGACTCTAGTACACCTTAAAGAAAAGGGGGAATTCTACAATGGTAGTGTTTTCCTGTAGTGGTGTGTTTGATTTTGATTTTTTTTTTCCTTGAGGGCTAGACTGTGGGGGAAATCCCCTTTTCCCTGCATCCCTGTCACCATTTCCACACGTCCTGAACGTCGTGCATGTGGGGAACAATGAGGTGTTCTTGCACCTAGTGATATTAGTGCCTCTTTATTGAGGTGTTTACTCTAGGAGGAAAAAAAAAAAGCTCTAAATCCCTCCTGTGGCTGTTGTGGAGGATCCCCCTGTGGGGTTACTGCCCTCAGAGGTGTAAGGAAGGTGTTAGGATTATTTGCTGTGTTCAGGTACAGGCAAACCCAGCCAGGTACGTGTGAGAGTAACAGCACCTGAAGTGGGCACTGGGTTATGCCTTCAACAGCCTGAAGGCAAAGGAGGAATCTGTGATAGGAGCACAAGGAGCTGGGTGACCAAGTGGAAATCCTCACTCACGTGAGCTTCAGTGCAAAATCTCGGCCAGCTTTTCCTCGTAATACTGGAAGTTGTCTTGAATGTCCTCCCACGGCACGAAAGCCTTTGCTTCCTCTCCTTCCTCCTGTTCCACAAAGTTCTGCCAGACATACTCAAAGTCTTGAGGCTTCATAATCCTCAGCTTGCAGCCAGCTGACTTCATTTTTTTCAGGGCCGCCTGCATTTCTGGCTCTTCCCACATGAAGAGCCTCCCTACCATGATGGTCAGCCGCAGGTTCTTGTTCTTCCGCAGGGTCTCGGTGATGCGCTCGGCGCAGGTCACGCAGGGGCTGGAGGACACGTACCAGGTGACGTTGTAGCGCAGGCTGGAGTCACACTTGGGCAGGATGGTGTTGAAGAAAGCCATTTCTGCGTGGGCAGCCGCGTGCTCGTCCTCCAGGTAACCCCGAGAGGTCACCGACTCCTTCCCTTGGGTCTCCAAGACATAGCACAGGAAGGTTTTGTTCCTGCCCGAGCTGTATTCCACGTTCCTGAACTGGAATTTGAAAAAGATGGCTGGGAGGCGTTCCCTGTGGAGAGTGGAGAGGAGAGAAGTGTCTCAGGAGCAGAGAACGAAGGGTTACAGCATTGGTTTAGCTCCTGGGTGTGACCTTGGACAAAGTGCTGCATCGGTGATGGCTGCGTTTCTCCTTGTATTAAAAGGTGATTCCTTTTAATAGATGTATAAAAATGCACTAACAGGAGTTATTCAGCTGGTTTTGCAGGGGGTTGAGGCTTCCAAGCCTGCTCTCACTACCTATTTTTTTTCCACTCAATTTTAACAAGCTTCTACAAGGAATTTCTGGTATCTGCAGTGAGGTATTTGAAGAGGAACTTGCTTCTGAAATGTTCCTTCAGTCTGTGATGCGTTCTGCTGGTAAGGAGGGACAGCAGCTGGCACTTTCCCAGTCCTAATGCACCTGTAGAACAAACTGTTGTGCTTTCTAAGCCATTGCTGTTGCTCTTTCAGGGGGGTGTTGCAGTGTTAATCTGTGGGATCTGTTGTCCTAAATTGTTAGGATAGTAACTCTGGCATTGCTAATTAACATTTTACCCCCAGAGCTTTTGCAGTCTGGGTTTCATCTGAGTAGGGGAGAGTGTGACTGCCTAGTTGCAGTTTTTACATGTTAATTTTACTCTTCCAGTATCAGCTGAATACTAATACTCTGCAGGATTATGTTGTGACTTTGGTTTAATAAAATATCTGGCATCAAATCTAACTTTGCTATGAAAAGTGTATTTCCTGCT